CCGATAAGCCAAAAATTGGGGGTATGCGCGTATTAGATACGGCTCCAATACGATGCAGCACCGATACGGCATCAATGCATATCCGATACGCCATGTGGCGTATTGTAGACTTTTCTGAGATGTTGACTTTACCATACGGATCGATACGGTCACATACGGCTCCGTAGACTTTAAGTCTCTTTTGGCTGGGTGATTTGAGGTCCAATGGATCCATCCAATCCATGTGTGGAGTTTTTATCTTAAACATCTAAATCAACGTAATAACATTCCAAATCAACCTAAGGACAGTAATGAGAACAACAATAGTAAAATAAACAACTGCATTACAATCATTACAAATTGTATGCATGCAGTAAGCAAGTATGCTTGAGAAAAGAACATTCAAACTCTCTTCTTAGTTTTTTCTTCAAAAAAAAAAACTCTTCTTAGTTTGTTTTTATGCAGTTAGTTCTTTGATCTCTTGGATTAGCTGTTTAATGTTCAGGTGAGAAGATCCACCTTCTGCTACTGCTCTCTTTGCCATCTCTCCTAACTCTCTGGCTCTCTCTCTTCTCCCTTGGCTTTCTTCTCCATCCATCAATTTCTCTATGGCCTCCTTCACCTTTTCCTTTCTTACCACCACCCTAATCTTCTCCTCCTCTCCCCACTTCACTGGAAATTCCACCCCAACTCTCACTGCAATCTTTAGAATCTGTTCAACAAGTTTCTCATTCAGAAATTGGTCCCCAAACATTGGCCATGTGAGCAAAGGCAACCCAGCACAAATCCCTTCCAATGTGGAATTCCAGCCACAATGTGTCAAGAACCCACCAACTGCAGGGTGTGATAATATGAGCGTCTGCGGAGCCCAACCCCGAATCACAAGGCTCCTTGCTTTGTTCCTTTCCTCAAATCCACTTTCTGCAATCCACTTCTCCAATTCCTGTGTTTCATTGCAACCCCTTACAACCCAAATGAACGGTTTATTCGACCCTTCTAACGCCAATCCAATCTCTATCAACTGTTCAGAGCTGAGGTTACACATACTTCCAAGGCAAACATAAATTACAGAAGCTGGTGCCCTTGAGTCAAGCCACTTGAAGCTATGAAGCTCATCAATGGACACCTTGTTACCTCTTTGTGCCTTGTCCAAGTCATCTTTATTGCATAGGGAAGCAGGGCCAATGCACCAGAGTTTATCCTTTGTTACCTTTTTGTATGCTTGAACATATGCTGGCTCCAATTCCTCAAAAGTATTCATGATCATCCCATATGTCTCGGTCTCAGCTGCTTCCATTTTGTCACGAAAATCTCTCAGTTTTGCTGTCAGTGTCCCGTCTGGAAGCTGAGCTTTCGTCATCTCAATTCGATCAGGCAGGTTGGGCAGAACAAGGTACTCCGAATCAGACGTTACACTCTCAAGCACGTTGGATACACTCAAATTGTGAACGCACAAATCACAGAAGCACCCTCTTCCAACGAAAGATATCCTTGGAATGTGATACTTGCTGGCAATGCTGGTTGTCCATGTAAAACACTTGTCTGAGATTATGCAGTTTGGCTTTGGAGTTAGCTCTTCAAAAAATTTCTCTACTGGCTTGTGAAGCAAGGTAGTTGCAGCTACGAGATTGACGACCAAGTTTGGTGAAGGTAGCATGTCGAAGTTTTCGCAGCCTTCGGGCAATCCTGCTTCTTCGGCTGGAAACTTCACTTGGATTATGCGGATTTGGAGCCCGGATTCTATGTCTCGAGTAAGAACTGCTTGAAATCGGGCTGCATTTTGGGGTGTGGTGAATATGGTGACAATGATGCCTTGTTGTGCAAACAATCTAGCAATGTCTATCAATGGGATCATGTGGCCTGAAGCCATTAGAGGAAAGAATACAAAGTGAAGCTGGTGGTCTTGATGAGAAGCCATTGAAATTAAGAGGAAGGGATGAAAAACAATAATGTTCTATGAATTAACCTGAGTCTCTTATTTAAGTACGGATACTTCAAAGGTTTGATGGTTCCAGTCAATTGTTATTTGTTGGTGACGTAAGCGCATACCTATACATTATTAAGTTCATCCAAAGAAGATTCTAATGATTCGTGAAGAAAAGACCTTTGTCGACAAATTTACCTCTGACCTTTCTCTTTCGTGTACTAAGACAGACCTGCAGGGGCCCACTAAATTAGTTTGATGTTTCTCTTTTTTAAGGTGTTTCTGTTTTTTTATTTGTAATTATTTAAAATTTGTTGTTATAATGCAAAAATAATAATAAAAATAGGTAGAATGACTTCAATGAGACTCAAACACAGGCCCTTCTATTAACGGATATGCACTACAAAGCAAGCTCCGTCACACACACTTTTGTAATAATATGCAGCACGCTAAAGTATATATCATTTCTATAATATTAATATATATAATATAAAGAATTTTTTTTTTTTGGGGCCCTAAAAAATCAGGGGCTCAGTGTCACCACTTGCACCAACCCAGAGCCGCCCTGCCACTACTAAGTCCAAACTAGCAAGATACGTTGAAACTGCTGAAAATATCGCGGTGATTGTGCCCACAAGATAAGGAGTGTGAAGTTAGGCTGCAGCAAACTTTGACTATGGCTAAAGAAATTCTTCATTGCGAAGTAGCAGATTGTGAGATGTAAGCATTCTGTGAGTGACCATCGGTGAGTGTGCAGGGAGAAGAGAAAAGATTAAGGGTGAAAGTCTTTTGGCCTGGGTGAAATGAGGTCCAATGGATCCATACAAGTGTGGAATTTTATCTTAGATTATTGTGATACTTTTCCGATATAAGGTTATGCTAATTTCCATTCATGACTTGTATCGAACCACGCAACCCTACATCTCCCACACATCTAAATATGGAACATTAATATAGCGCCCACTATTACCATAGATAGAAGGTAAAAGAAGTAAATAGAGGAATTCTGTACAAATTGGTTTAAGCTTGTAGGATGGATATTCAATATGTTAGAGTCTGGTAAAAAAGAACAAGGGAGTTGGAAATCTATCTTTTATCTTTCACTTTCCGAAATTCTCTCTGCAATTACTTCCTTGTTGCATGATATCTTGGATTAGCTGTGTAATGTTAAGGTGAGAAGATCCACCTTCTGCTACTGCTTTCTTTGCCATCTCTCCAAACTCTCTGGCTCTCTCTATTCTCCCTTGTCTTTCTTCTCCATCCATCACTTTCTCTATGGCTTCCTTCACATTTTCCTTTTTCACCAATACACCGATCTTCTCTTCCTCTCCCCACTTTACTGGATATTCCACCCCAACACTCACAGCAATTTTAAGAACTTGTACAACTAGTTTTTCATTGAGAAATTGGTCTGCAAACAGTGGCCATGTGACTAAAGGCAGCCCTGCACATATCCCTTCCAACGTAGAATTCCAACCACAATGTGTTAAGAACCCCCCAACTGCAGGGTGTGATAATATGAGTGTTTGCGGCGCCCAACCTCGAATCAAAAGGCTCCTTGCTGTCGTTCTTTCCTCGAATCCAGTTTCTGAAATCCAATTTTCCAACTCCTCTGATTGACTGCATCCCCTTACAACCCAAATGAATGGTTTTTCAGATGCCTCTAAACCCAATGCAAGCTCTATCAGCTGGTCGGTTATGAGATTGCATAAACTTCCAAGGCAAGCATAAACTACAGAACCTAGTTCCCATGAGTCAAGCCACTTCAAGCAGTGATGTTCATCAATGGAGGCTTTGTTACCTCTACGCGCCTTATCCAAGTCATCTTTATTGCATAGCGAAGCCGGGCCTATACACCAGACTTTAGCCGCCTTCTTGTATGCTTCAATATATGCTGGCTCCAATTCTTCAAAAGTATTCATGATTATCCCATATGTTGCCTTCTCGGCTGCTTCAACTTGGTCATAAAAATCTGTCATATTTAGAGTCAGGAGTCCTGGCAACTGAGCTTTGGTAACTTCGAATCGATCAGGGAAGTCAGGCACAACAAAGTACTCCGATTCGGACGTTACATTCTCAAGAACCTCGGATGTTTGTAAACTGTGCATGCAAAGGAGGCAAAAGCAACAGAATCCACTGAATGATATCCTTGGAATGTGAAACTTTTGAGCAATGCTGATTGTCCATGGCAAACACACGTCAGAGAATATTGCATTTGGCTTGGGAGTTAGCTCTTCAAACAATTTCTCTGCCGGCTGTTGTAGCAGGGCAGTTGCAAAAAAAAATTTATCTGCCGAACCTATTGCAGGTAGCATGTCAAGGTTCTCGCACCCGTCCGGCAACCCTGCTTCTTCAGATGGAAATCTCAGTTGGACCAACCGGATTTGGAGCCCAGATTGTATGGCACGAGTAACAACCGTTCGAAAACGGGCGGCATTGTGCGGGGTGGTGACTATGGTGATGGTGATGCCTCTTTGTGCCAACAGCCTGGCAAAGTCCATCATTGGGATCATGTGGCCTTGGGCCATGAAAGGAAACAAGACAAAGTGAAGCTGGCGCTCTTCATCACGAGAAGCCATGGAAACTAAAATTGTTGCTCTATGAAGTAGGCTCTCTTACTTGGGTGATATAACAAGATTGTTGCTAGCAGACAATGGTGAGTTTTCTGGTGACGTAAGAGCATACATATGCATTTGTTCGTTATCCAAAGAAAGAAGAATTCATGGATCAGAATTCCGTGTACTGTTTTCCCACTTCCACATAACTTTCAATCTCTTTGCATCTCCTCTCTTTTCCCTTTCGTGCAGGACTTTTCACTTGGCTGCATTTCCTACAGATATTTATAGAATAGAAGTTGACATAAGTAAACAGAGGAAGCTGCAGGCTTTCATGGATTATAAAAATTGTGAATGCGGAGGCAGCAGCTTCAGTGTGTGCAACATTATTCTTACCTTTAAACAAAAATTACACACATTCTATATATACAGAAGAAAGGGAGAGCTGCCATTGCAACATTCATAATTCGATGAAAATCTTCAAATTCAGGTGATTTTAGAGCATTCAACTCAAAATCAACTGGATCACGTGACAAAATTCATATGCAAATGAAGTGACAAATGGTTCACATATAACCGATAGTATGTTTAAACATTGGAATTTACAAATATTTTACAGACTCACTTGTTTCTGGGTAAATCGGCATAATGTTACAAGACAAGTCTAAATTATGCATATCACATAAATCTACAACAAAGAAATACACAGATGACCCTAAGCACAAATTATGGATTGACAACCGACAAGGCTACAATTGACATGATTTACAACAGCTGAGAAATTGGCACAAGTCACTTACAATTATAGACATCGATATTTGATAACCCTACATACTAAAGAGGTCAATGCAGAGCTCTAAACATTCACCCTAGCTGCTTCATTCTGCACCTTGAAAATCAACATCATGACTTCCACATTCCCTCATGCATTGCTTTTTCTTCAAACTCTGGAACTTGTGGTCATCCAGGATCCGAGTCATCAAACATGGGGATATGTTTTCAAGTACACAGATGAAGATGACCATTTGAATTTCTCCTTTATAGATTTCTGCTTTATTTTAGGCTGAAGAATCATGGCTTCTTCGACCTGATTCCACACGATCAACTCGAGCTGCTTTCCATGAGGATGACTTTGAGAATTTTAATAACAAACCAAGAGCAGAAGAACATGTTGCTCTCACGACCGCATCTGTTGACTTACTCATTTTGCCTACTAATGTTCCAAATACCTATATGAAGCCATGAATCTTTGTGAATATCAATATCCCATGTTAGTCTTTGCTATGTCATAAAAAAATAGCGCTTGTCTGAAACTGACCTGTGCATAATAGAGAGTCAAAATGTGCTGATCATCTGACAGAGAGAGCATACAACTGGACAAGTATATAGCATTTGCCTGAATTATTGGCCATGGTGCATCGAAAGCCTGCAACATAAAAAATGCAAGACAAGTCTTTTGGTACACATATTGCAAAAAAGGAAACAGGTAACATAACCATTTGAAGTGCTAGGCTTATACCCATAAAATCACAGGACATTCATAAAGTACTCTAAAGGCCAACCATTATTTATGATAGGAAAAACACTAAAACTTGTAGAAACTTTAGATTGGAAACTGATGCAACAGCTTACATGGCACTCTATGCATATCACACTACTCTACCCCAGCATGTAACAAGCCATCAGTGGCTTGCCATGCAAGCTGCCACACCATCTTATCAAGCCAACTTGGTGCATATAGCAAGCGTTAATCTTCATGATATGCCAATTTAAATCAGTCAATTAACATGTTTAACATGAATATTGATATTAAACAGCTTGGTGTGATGACAGAAGGCTAAGACCCCAAACAAGCACAAGAGGGATGAGACCATTTGGTGGAGTGAGCAGCATGGTAAAAAATTTCAAGTTATAAAAGCTCTAAAGGAAATGGATGCAGGTGTTCGTAGAAGGCTAGAAGGTGTAGGATCTAAGATGAGATGTAGGTGTACGGAGTAGGAGAAACAGTGAACCCTTAACTTTCCTTTTGGATAGGCATTTGGTGCAGCCACCCCTTAGCAGGGTTAAGGCTATCTCATGCTTCAGTTGAAATATGCATTACATTCACTTAACATGGCAACCAAGACATATTTTTCATATAAAAAAAATGAAGGCTTTCCAGCATGGGAACCTGTATTGTCGACGCCATGTACGTATCAACTCTAGAGGGAAGATGCTGAGCAAATTGCTTTGTGAGATCTCTGACAAAGTCCTCATAGTCAGTTCTGAAAAGAGAACAGTTGGTGTGACTTCAGGTATCCATATAAAGTTTTACTGTCATAATCATTTCATAAACTCGGCCTCAAAATATGTCAAGGGATACCGATGATCATGATTGAAGCAATGCATGTTGAACAAGGGCAACAATCCTTCCATTTCCAGCAAGGGGGCAATTCGTTTGAGAGTACTCTATTTATCAATAGAAATAATAAGTCAAAAATGTCTCTGTAAAGCTTCATGCACAGAAGATGTAAAAGGGATTTTAACCAATTACCCGGCAAGCCTGTCGCACACTAACATCATCATCATGCAAATGCAGGACCAAGCGTGGGATGGCAGCATGTACCTGAGAAAAGAAATTACAACTATATGAGCTTTTATAGGTAAACCCCTGTTAAGTTGGAAAGTTATTCCATTACCCATAAATAATTAAACAAGTGGTTAAGTTAGAACAATAACTGAGTAAACTACAGCCAAAAAAATTTAAACCATGAAAGATGATAATCTAAATAATGTCTATGCTCACATTGACCATTCATGGGTCATCAAAGAAAGAGGGTACAGTTCTTAAATATGAAAGAAACAAAGTTAGTTCTTCATAGGATCAGAATGAGTGAGAGACCTGCTCAAGAAATGCTTCGTGCTGTGCCCCAATTCCGTAGTTGCTTAGTGCTCCAAAAGCTGCAAAAGCATTAGCTCGCATCTTTGGGTTCATGCATATCTGTTTCAAACATGTGGTACGTTAGGCTACATATGAGCAAAATCAAATGAAACATACTCCAAACAACATGCAAGATGACAACTTATTTCCAAATATTAAGTGATATAACATGCATGGTATCCTTGGGCCCAATTTAAAGACTGTTCCAACCTAGTTTCTTAAAAAATAACTTCTGGGAACATCCCTCAAAAGTTAATTTCCACTGTTTACCAAAGTCCCTCCTCCCTTCATTTCTAGAAGAGGCTTTTTAATCCTTTCCCAGCATTATGTCATGGTTAGTACGTGCAAAGTAAAGGGATTTGAAGAATGTTTATAGAAAGTGTTATCATCGGCTCCTCCAAAGACTCAACAACAAAATTAATTTAGGAAGGAAACGTTCATGATTAGATCTTTGTAATGAATTACCAAATTTTTAAGAGTGCGGGCATTGATGTGGGAGTGGAAGGTTTATCCTTCCATGTGTTGCCAGCATCCCCAGTGATATATATGTCACCAGGATGTTGGCAAATTCTGATACTACTGGCAACCTCTTTAGCTAAAAAGAATCAATGTTGAACATTGAAAACTGGCGGAATGGGGGACGTGGGACACGAATGATATCACAGGTGGCACATTGACCCAATTGAAATGTAGGGGGGAAATTGAGATTTTCGGTAAAGCACAACAGGGAAAACAATAAATAAGCCTAAAATATAAACTACCAACATATCCTTGAAGACAAGTAGTTCAAGTAAGCAACTTTACAAGTATTTTGGAAACATTTTATCATACAGAATCAAAATATGGTAACAAAGGAGGTACCAAGAACCATAAATAATTTCTTGAACAGTATTATTAAAGAGTGAAGTACTGCACCTGAAGATTTCGAAGCCGTACAGAAAGATTAAGCAAAATGGGTTCCACTGCATCGTTGGGTGATGACTCAAGCATCTAATACATGAGAAATGAGTACTCAAAAATTGATAGTAAAGCAATGATTACGAAAAAGAAAAGTAATCAAAAGATAATTCTTAAAAATTAAATTACAAACATGCATGAGAGAAAAAGGGAGTGGGAGTCACCGTGAGTAAGCAAGAGACTGCAGTTAATTGCACAGATTCATCAGAATCATCGAGTAAAGCTAATATTACACCCAGAACTTGAGTTGTGTACTGCAACATATGGATTGAGGGTATCTGCAACTCAAAAGTTGAGAAATGTCATTTCCTCCACAGTGCAAAGGATGAAGATAAGAGTAGAATACAACAAGAAATAATAATAAGATCCATAGCCATATAATTCTATATGAAGGACAAACAATCAAACAAAAATGTTCAAATCAGACATTTTTCTCAGGCACACAGATAAGTAAGCCAAGATTGAGAATGGACATATGATTACAAAACATCGTCCAAAGTCCAAAAGAAATCGAACAACTCTTTTCTCTTGAAAGCCAAAGAAAATGTATGACATTCTATACCACAGTAGAATTCTTTTTCCAACAAGCAATGCAATGTTTACCTCAAAACAAATAGAACTAAAAGCACGGGCATACAAACACCAATGAGTGAAGTGAGAAGTGCACATATTCATATATGGAAAGCTTTTCAGCAAAAACTGATAATTATAAAAGAAAAACAAAGGAAAGAGAAGCATGCATAAAAATCTAAACAATCATTCCTGACAATTGTGTGTAAGAATCGGGAAACCTGTACTAGTCCTCTCAAACACAAGCGCCTAACTGTTGGAGACTCATCTGATACATGTCGACACAACACCTCCACGATCTGCTCTAATAGGGAGCCAAATCCATCACTGCATTGTCAAAAATATTATTTAATAACTTGAAATAAAAAGTTGACCAATCATTTTAACTAATAACACAAAAAAGCAACTGAACTAACAATAAGCAAAGAACTAAATTGAATCTCAAAAGCACACAAGAAACTGAAGGAAAGAGAGCAAACAATTGTTATTATGGACAGGAACAATGATACAGGCCCCAGTAATCACAAAGGTGAACAGAAAAGTAACAACATTATCAACAATGACATTTCACGCAAACAATGTTTGCAACAACCACGATAACAATACATATCATGGAAATAAATAATAACCTATATACTAAATAAAGTGAAATAAATGAAACCAATAAAAAGTTAAGAGCATTAATTGACATATTGCGCATACCTGTAGCGGACAAACTCTGATAATGCAGCAGCTGCAGCTTCCCTTTGGTATCTTTGGTGTCGATTTAATGATTTACTTAAAATTACACATATGCTTTGAACCTTTAAAAAAAAGTGTCCATAAGAAATTGGCAAGCTACCACTATCAACAAATTCACTATAATGTGATAGAAGTAGAACACAGCTTAAACATTTATCTCTTAGAAGTCTCCACCTAGTGTCATTTGTCATATGTTGTTTTCATCTCAACTAATAAGTTCCACTAAAGATCACAGTATAAAACTAGATATTTAAAACAATAATATGAAATCATCTCAAGTCAACCATATTACCTCTTTTGGTCTTTTTATAGAGATGCAGCCCGCTATGTCTCCAATAAGATTGATCCACCTCTCATTTTCATTATGCTCTCCATCTCTAGCCAGAATCTAAAGATAGTATATCTAAATTACATTCCCTTCAGATTGCAAGAAACAATTGAAGAATCCATAATAAAATAGCTGAGTAATTGTTGTCTTTATATCCTTTTCTACCTTTCCCATCTCAAGATCTCCAACACATTCACAGAACGCTTGGAATGCAGTTAGAAGAGCCCTGCAAGAGCATCAAAAGTGGGACAAAATAACAAATTTAACAGTTAAACTCTACACATTCTTACAACTCACATGTGTGTGTTGATTTTTATAGAGGGTAAGTTATTGCCAATCAGAGTCTGACATGTTATGTTGGCATCAAACTGTCAAACAAGAGGTACAATCGTATTTGGATGTGCTGTCTTAACTGACAATCTGGTAGCTTAACACGTCAAATTCTCTGGAAAAAGAACAAAATATACATAGCGGACATGCTCTTTTTTCCAGACTATGAATCTGAGCCATTAATTAGGTGGTCCAGATTCCCAATCTGGCAACACAAGCATCTAATCTTGTCAAACTGTCTGGCAACATAACATTACCCATATATAAAAAATGTGGATACTAGATGCTTACCGTAATGGATCATGTTGACCACAGCTAGCTAGACCATGACAAGTTCCCAATTGGAGAGTGAGTTCAGCAAGAACAGAGGCATAATTTTGTTGAACAGCCTTCTTGCCTATTTTACCACCACCCCTACAAAAAAAAGTGGAACATAATAAAATCGACTAACCTGAATAAATACATCTGAAATTTTGATAACCAAGGCTAATTCTAGAAACCTGAAAAATGCAGTGACAGCAATAATAGCAGCTTGTAGAATGTCATCCTCCATTTGACTGTCAACCAAATGGCTATGACTGTCTCCTTTTACTGAATCACCTTTAAGGATGGGATACTGGCCAAAGACACCTATCGCATGCTCCAGGAACAAAGATGAAAGAACTGTATGCTGGGAAAATGCCTGCAGGACAAATGTCAAATAATAAACTTACAAGAAGTTAAGAAGAAGACTGAATAAATACTGTTAAGATCAAACTGAACAAATCAAAGCAAGGAGAACATACTCTCTCTCTCTCTCTCTCTCTCATGTTTGGTCAACCAACCACAATTCTCAATTGCAACAGAAGCAATATAACCTTTTGAACTTTATTGGTAATATTTCAGTAAACAAAAACTCTGATACAGATAAAAATATCCTAACTGAAAGCCACGTGGGACTCACATAAAATGCATCCTGCATTGGCCAGCCACCACGTAGTCTAGATATATCTTTTGTTACTATATCCCTTCCAGACGTAGCCAAAACTTCATTGAAGACAACTTTCGAACTAGTGCTCTCAGCTAGAGAAGAAATCTTCTGGCAGTTAAGGATACTTCACAAATATTGGAAAGAGAACCAAATGAAAAACGGAACTACCTATCAGAAGTAAGGATTAAAGATAGACAAGTGTACTGACGTTTCTGACACAACCGGCAAAGAGGTTAAAACAGGCAACAATAAAGAGTTATACACTGAGATTAGATAAGCAGCTCCAAAAGCGAGATTCCTCTTCTTATGAAAAGAAAATTACAATTTTTCCCATAAGCAGTGAAAATTACCATGATAATCAAATGGCTAAAAACTTTCCTACTTGGTTGATTTTTTTTCGAAGGATGATCCTTGAATGGAGACCCAAAGATATACAGTTTAGATCATTGGAGCACGTTGCGAGATAGGCCCAAATAGGGTGGTCCCTTTCTTTCATAGTAAGAGAGATCCTTTTAAGAAGGGGATGGTCTATATAATATAGGTTAAAAAAGATACAGCAGCAAGAGTTTCCTGACGTAAATGCTTCTCAGTTACATGGTTTGCAGCCATCAGCAGAGCTTGGGTCGTCCTATAGACACACACACAATATATACTATCAAAGTGAGAGAACATGTAAATCAATTTCTTAATCAAAAGGAGAAAAGCTCTCTACATTCTGTATTCCCTTTTGAAATATGTTACTAATTTAAAATTTCATTATTTGGTAACCTTGAAACATCAGCTTCACTCAGTTCATTCCCTCTTCTTGTGACAAACTCAATTACAGCTTGAATGGCCCCTTCAGCTGATTGCTTGATCTTATCACATATAGCTGATGTGCAACCATGCAGAGTAGCTACAAGCTGCAAGGATTCCTCAAGAATAAGATGAAGTTGTTGGACTATTGGTTTCAATTTTGAAAAACATATTCATCAAAAAAGCAATTACCTCGTTTTTTGTCAGTAATATGCAGACAGAGGAAATAATTCTGTTGAAAACCTCAGATGGATCTATAGAAGCATCCTGGGAATATAGAAGAACCAAAAGATTTCCATAGTTTTACATTTGTCCACCCATGGTTTCGCATGAAAGATATGATGAGAGAACAGAAGAAAAATTAAGAAAGCAGGAAAATGTATGAAAAGAACTGGCAATGAACCTACACTCCTCAAAATAGCAATGACATCCTCAAGGGACGATAAAGCACTGTAGGACAATTCTATGTCCACACCATAACTGGAAGTTTCAGGCCGTGGAAGTGAAAGTGAGATGCTAAAAAGCTGATCAAGAATCTATACACAGAGAGAGAGAGAGAGAGAGAGAGAGAGAGAGAGAGAGTTAGGTCACATGCAGCCAAATTGAGAAACAATATTTAGATATCCATATGCATTTCCAGATAACAATGAGGGTAACATATTTTACTATAGGGGATTAACCAAATGTAACTTAAGTGACACTTAAAAAAAGGCTAAGTCTGCAAAAACCTTACCTGAGCAGAGACTGTTCTAACTTCAGAATTAGTGTCTGCACAACGTGGAAGATACATAATGACCCTGTCTCCCAATGACAAGGCCTCACGACTTGGCAATACAAAAGCCGCTGGCAGTTGAACAAATGATAAGAATAATGGTAGGCAAAAGAAAAAATAAAGGGAAAGCTGTTTCAAGAGACATTTTTACATGGTAAGTTGGACAAGTTCCCATGCAAGTTACGGTCAAATTTCTTGTTGTGCGTGCAACTTCCTTGGCAGCCCAGGGCACAATGTGCAGTGATGCAAACTGTCCTAAACTTGAGAAGCATCTCATGTACTGCAAGACAACCTCTTCTCCTTTGATAATCCATAGGTGAAGAAACATACTGATCAATTTGTCTCAAGATGTGCGATAACTGCTCTGCTCGACTTCTCCCATCTTCTCCACTAAATTGTCATATAATGCTAATCAGAAGCAATATGCATGACATTGTAAATAAAGCAGATATGTATGGAATACATAAACCCCATAGAATTTCCCTAATTAATTAATTCATAAAACATATAACTTCATAATTATTATACATCAAATTGTAAAGAAAATTAACACATATAACTCAAAGGAGCTAGCTAATATGTATGTTTTAGAGAGACACTTGGATACATAAGACACATTATACGTATGTTAAAGTTGGAGCCTTCAACCCAAAACAAACTGGCAATGAATGGAGAAGCCTACAATTCACATATGGCCTACTAAGTGAAACATCTGTATCACTTATATTAGGTGGTGCAGAGCATGTGTGACCAAATTGAACCTGGCACTTATATTACTGCCCGCTTTGATACCACGTTAGAGTTAGAGACTGTCCAACCCAAAACCGGTTGACAATGACTGAAGAAGCTAAAATTCTATATATTGAGAGATACAAGGCTTAGAATTTCCTGATGTGAGATTTTTATATCGTCAACCCCTACCAGAGTGAAAACCCATAGTCTTATCCAGCAGGTGTCAAATATTTCACAACTGAATAAATTAATAATAGAAAATCACATATAACATGATTTAGTATATATTCCAAAATTATTAAAGAATCCTGATAAAGCATCTGGTAACTTTCACACAAAAAAAGGAAACAAAAAGAAAACCAAAAAGCAAAGCAGTTGAGCAAGACTTCAAAATGATGACAGGATGATGTTTGAGAAGAATAAGCACTTTCGAAAAGCATAATATATGTGATTTAATATACCTTGTAAGAAGAATTGCACACAAGAGAGTAATGAGGTTGTCAATAAGAGGATTGACGACATCTATTGGATCATTTGGTAAAGCAAAGAACCCTAAGGTGGCCTGTCAAAATTATCACAATAAAAAAAAAAATTAAGCAACAACCAATCAAGAAGTGTGTTTCCAGTTACAAATAGTGCATCAGCATAATAAACAGCAAACCTTTAATACATGGTTTCTGGTTTCAATCGTTAGTTTTGGGTCCACAGAGACCAATGTAGTGCAGGCACTTAAAGCACGGGCCTGTAGAAATTAATGAGGAGTGAGAAAATTGGAAAAGGTACAACAGAAGTTGACCATCACATTTGGGGAGTTTGTTTCAAAAATATTTACCAAGCAATCATTTTCTTCTTGGAAATATATTAGTGAAATTTTTTCCTTCCAAGTATTCATTTTTCTACGGCATTGATTTGCAAAGGAATAATTTCTAAAAGGAAATAAGTGTAGATTTAATAACACTTTTAAGTTTTAAAAAATTTATATTTATAGTTGTATTGGAAAATATCCCCCCAAAACATTTTCCAGGTTTCTCCTAATCTTAGGAAAAATATGGTTCCCTAAATTGTGGAAAATTGAGTCAAACACCTAGAAAATTGTGTTTTCCCAGAATTTACTTCTTTTCCGTGGTTTTTCAGGCAAAACAAACACAATAACTCCAAAAATATTACTAACTTGCGTGTCCAGAAGTTCCAGACTAGAATCTGAAAAGCTTTCACTGTCATCTCGTCCCATTAAAGTTAATATATAGTCAAGCATTTGGTCCCTTCTTTTTAATGGAAATGATGAACCATTTTCTGCAGCATTAATGACAGCACGACCTGAAATATCAACACATAAGTTTCTGAAAAGTTGCATTGTACTAATGAACGCAAGTCATCTAAACCATATAGCACAGAACATAAGAAATGTGTCCAGCGAGCAACTGCATCCTATTATACAAGAGCAATTGTATCCTATTTTGAGGATTGTGATTATAATATCTCACAATAATGGCAAATATCAAGCCTTTTACAACAAAACATGTATACACCATCACCCAATCTACTACATAAGCAGTATCTATCATGTCATCGCCTATGTTTCTTTTAGAGTTTAAGTTGGACCATTGACTGAAAAAAGAAATTAGCATGGGAAGCGGTTGTATCTTAGAGGGTTTTGTCTATATTTCATGATGTTCTCAAGTGGATGTAATTACTCTTAGGCATTGATCAGAAGACTTAGTTTGTCAACTATGTACCATTACACAGATTTTCTTCAACGAAAGTATGTTTACTTAACCAAAAGAAAAAGTATGTGACCTACACCCTTGGAATCAACTATACAAGCACCACATGAACAAGAATCAGTCACGCATATGGCCCCAATCTCTATGGAAACACGCATGAAAGAAACAAAATTCCCTGGGATTATTAAAAAGAAAGAATCAATTCAAGAGACAACCTACTCTTAGCAAGATGTAAACCAACCCAAGAGGAACAAGCTCTTGGGAGTTCAAACTTTTTTATAAACAAAAACATGGAAATGAACAAGGTTTATAAACTGAAAGTCGCCAAAGTTTTATCAACAAAATTTTCATATAAAGAGCATATTAAAAACCTTAACAAAACACAATAAGTCCAAGCCCACAGCAGCAGCTTTAAAAATAAGTAAGTGTAAAAATGACACCCAATTTCTAATGATTTCGACAAACCGAGTAAATCAATAGCAGTAATGACTGCTTGCTTTGCAGTAGGGTGGCGCACATGAAGAAGCCGTGAGAGCATATTAGTCCCCTGCATTAAAAATAAGTAATCAATTTATAAATTCTTATGATTACTTATAAATAAATTGGCCTTTTTAAATTCATTATAGGGTCAGAATTCTAAGCAATAGGAACCTGGAATTTGTCAACTTTTATGAAATTCTCATTAAAATTAAACCGCCAAAATGATGTGGCAAACCTAACTAACTTATATTATACAAATCTCCTCTTTTCATGCCATTGATTCTTAGTACATTATGTATTTACACTTTCAAAGGGAGAAAAGGTTGCCAAAGTTTCTTTTAAATGTGCTTCTTGTTGTATGTACATGGACGTGCATGAGTGAATTTGTGCGCGAGCATATGAGACCTTGTGACTTAATACTCCAAGTATATTGTGTGAGTACACTGAGATTGCTTTATACTAAAATTCAAGCCATGAGACCACATGACTTCATTTCCAGTATCTGTGTGAGTCTACACTCACATTACATTATACTAAAGAAATACAACTACTGGTTATTCTTAGTCAAGGAAATGCATGTATATTTGTGTATCTGTATGAATGAACAAACTGTATCACCCACATCCCTGGCCAGAAACTATGGCTAAGCTTATATGAAGCATACAGAGAGTGAGCACCTGCTCTCTATTCTTAGACTTTTACATTTTGAATAATATTAACACTTTAACGAATCACGATATAAGTTCACAGAGTACAAAGAAGGGAGAAAAAAGGAATATTTTATTTCTTGATTGTTAGAGGGGATAAGAAAAGGACGAGACATCATACCACAAGTGCATCTATTCTGGCTTCAATTACTGTTGATGGAGCATATTTTGCAGCATATCCATACATTAGAGCCAAAGCAGCATGTATATCATCAGATTCTTCGGTTTTAAAATCATCAGAGAAAAAAGATAAGAATCTGCAATAAATGAAGCAACAAAATTGTTTATGTTGTATACGATAAGAAAATATATATTTACACCCATACAAAAATTAAATTTCCAATTCAAACTCAGAAAAGATAAAAATAAATAAATAATAAAACAAAGAAATGAAGGTATACTGCATCACGGTCAACAATTTCTCACAATTTTTTTAAATGGGTAACTACATTTACTGAAAATATAAAAGGAACACATCTTAAAAGTTATTTGATAGACATTTGTTTCATGCTAGGTAAATTGTTACCTAGTTTTATGTTTTTAGAGAATTCCACCTTAAAGTTTCCACTTGCATTATAGATACAACATGTTGTGGGAGAGAAAAAAAAAACCCTTGCAGATGATAATTGTTGCATGTTCTCCACCTTCCTCCCAAAATTTTGAAGGGAAGCTTGACAGACTATTAAATCCAGAAGCATAATCACAATATCCCAGTGCCTGGTCTTGGAGGTAGTGGAGAAATTTAAAAGTGGTGGTCCGAAATTTTCACCGGTAAAGGAGGAAGTTCGCACAGTTTCAATGTATGCGGTGTACTAATGAACAGCATAAAGCTTTTCATCATGTAAACACATAATTACTTTTTTCAACCCCGAATTTCTTTTTGTTTAATTTGAATGTACCATGATGGCAATTTCTTAATGATCTGCAAACATACTCTGGAGAACAAGTGAAAAGCACAAAATCATGAATTAAGTAATCAGCACAATGAGAAGTACCAAAATCCTTTAAAAAAAGAAAGAAAGAAAGAAAGCTAGAAAGCTTTTGGGGTAGAGTAGAGACACACACACAGAGAATCTAACAATGTATATATATAGCATTCAAGAAGACTGGCAAGAACCTTCGAAAAATGCTTTGCTCAACATTATCCAGAATGCCTTTTAGCTTTTCCAGGACTGTGTCCAAGTGGGATGCTGCAACCTGGATGTGGGAGGCCAAAAGGAATGAATAAAAAATGCTGGAAAGATGGAAAGAGTAGAAAATTAACTATGAATAGTAAGATACCAGCCCCATGGCTTTTGCCAAACCAAGCCTATTTGTTGGAATTGTGATGTTAGCTTGTTTATACATCCAATCTATCTTATCACGGACATAGGCCCTGTCATTCACTTTTTGAAGAAACACACCAAAGCAGCTGCAATAGAAAAGATAATAATCAAATTTTAAAAACACCTCCCAACTCAATCGATACAATAGTGGAAACCCCAATCTACCACAAAAGTAAGCCACCCAACGATACTGTGCACATTCTAATATTCAGCAAGCATCATAAATTCGTTGCTAACATTCAAAATAGTCTCTCTTTGGAGCATAATAAAGCAATACTGAATATAACATTGCTTCCCCATATCTAGTAAAGATCTAGTAAAGAAACACTGGCTTGGAAGGAACAATACCGATGAAGAAGTGCAGAGTGTTCGTCATCAGATGTATAAAGTCCATACTGTTTGGTAATTGCATTTCCAAAGGGTATCACCCAGTCAGAATCTTGAATCACATCCAAAGATTCTGCAAAAAACTGTCACACAAATCAAAGTGATTAATTCATCTTCGTTGTCAATGAAATCTGGATGAGCCTATATGTTACCAATTTACAACATGAACCCAATTGCTCCCATTCCAAAGAAAATAAGGAAGATGAAAAAACTATGACGTTACAGAAACATGTTAGAAAAAAAATTGAAAACTTTGCCAATGAGTTTTTTGCCCAAAAATCAAGAATACTTATGAAAAATGAAATAGATATCACTGAATTTCAAAGTTCAATTGCACTTACATTGATTATCATGTCGTCCCAAGTCTCTTGATAAGAAGGATCTTGCTTTAAATCTTCTGTGTCACTAACATATGCCTTTAATTTTGGAATCTAGAGCTTACCAAAGAACAAAATTAATTAGACTGCATTACTAGTCATTCATTTTTACTGTAATTGAGTAAAAAGAATAGAACACATAAACAAAGGTAAATTCTTAGTTGTGCAATCTTTTTCCAAATTCTTTTTCAGGAAACAACAATTTTAATATAGAAGAAATTGCAAAAACAGGATGGACAAGAAAAGTCCATCAGGAACAAAACAGAAACCTAACAACCCCCACCCCTCTCTTCTCCTCCCAAAGAAAGAACAAACAAAAAAACTGAAATAGCAGGGACTTTGGTACAATAGAAGTTGGGTAACACAAATCAGATCATCATCAGATACTACTTTTTCTTCTCTTTCTGAAAAGATTTTGTCACAAGGGTATTTACCACCTTTTAACCCAATGAAGTTCATGAGAACATGACAGTACATAAATTCCAACATAAAACCTTCCAAATGTAACTCAAATACGTAATTTTTTAGCTGCATGATGATGATATACCTCATCTTGCCAAAACAAGTTGATATTTTTTGGAAAGAGAGGTGCCAGATAGCAAAGAACCTGCAAGGCAATATATGAAGAATTATAGACTATTCCAATATAAGGTGAATGGTCACCAGAGCATTACCAATATCATTTATTTATTTTTCGAAAAGAAATAGCATAAACAATAACACGAAATTCCTCCAAACCTTCTAATTTAAGACAAAAGCTAAAAACACGCTGAAAAGGAATATGATTATGATATGCTTACTGTCAAAATCTGACTCGCCAGCTGCTCCCTTGCTAAAGGATCATGCAAAAGCACCACCAAGCGAACAAAAAGCTCCTATTAACACAAGTAAAACAAGGGTTGCTGAGATCAATTGTCTTGTAGTGCACAAGAAGTCTAAAATTCAATATAGCAAGAAATCTACCTCAGGATTTGGTATATCAGCACGAGCTTTGCACTCAGCAAGCATGGTATTGCTATTAGATCTATGCCTGCACAATTCTGAGATGCATCTGCAAACCTGTAGCAGCAGAAAGTGTTAAAATTCATGAGATCTACACCCCCACAAACTGGGAAATTGCATTCAAATAAAACAGCTGAATTTTGGGTATCTAAAATAACCTCCATGCAAAAAAAGGGGCATAATATGAGGATGCAGAGGAAGTCCTACCATAGCAACTGCACCAGTATAAGCCTGTGGAATAATCATCTTCAGCAGAAAAGGCCAAAGTATATGCTGCACAAAAATAGAAAAGTTTTTAATTTTATTTCAGATAACATTACCATTTATACTTGTACACAGAAACCCCTTCTGAAGCTCAAACAATCAGATAACAGCAGATGTACTGAATGCAGAATTGACAATTTGGCATACCTCCATTTCTGGGATCGTAATAGTCAGCAGAAGAAGGCCTTTTTCACAGATTGCCCTTAACTCTGCTGGACAAAGTGTCCCAATTTTCACCTAAGAAGAGCAAACTAGTATTAAATGCTATATTAGGCAACAAGTTTTACTTTTCCTATAAACACCTTGAATCTCCTCCACAAATCTGACCCTTAGAAAGCGCTATGATTTTAATATTAAAGGAAAAATCCACCTTATTCTGTAACTGACATGAGAGATTTTCAGGGCCATATATCATCAAGATTTTATCATTTTCTTTCTTGCTAATGTTAGATAAATGTTAAGAACATCAAAATATAAATTTCTTTTGTGGTAGTTAAGAAGATCAGTCGCAGCATTTATGTTTTGGAATCAATAGAATCAGATGCAAACCTCCAATCTCTTGTATTGGAAAGGAATATAGGGGTTGCCTGATGCATCCTTGGACCTCTCAAGGTCATTACTATCCTTATCTGTTAAAGCACAATGGCGGACAAGATATTCCACAAACAGCTCCCCAGACGGACCAATTAAGTAACAATGCGAAGCCATAACAACAATCAACTACACCAAAGGAAAGCAATCTGAAATTAGGAGACAGGAATGACATAAGTGTTTTACTGAAAGTCTTGCAGAAAAGAAAAACCCAAGGCTTACAACATCAATTAATACGACATACCTCTGAAAGCACCTTTCGGACACCTAAATCTTGATCATCTAGCAAGAATTGTACAGCTTCAACAAGATTATGCCGTTTACAGTGCCAAGCTTCAGATAGCCTCCAAATAAAATCATAAGGATGTCAGATCATGTAAGAGAATCAAAATAGAGGCCACTGACAAAGCAACAGAAGGTAAAGAAACCTTGGCAAGAGATGTTTTAGAACACATAGCGCACCAAACGTCAAAGGTTCTTCCTTCAATCTGCATTTCTGGTAGCAGACATGCACAAAACAAAAGAGACCACCAAAATTTAGTTATACTTTGAAAACTAATACAGAAAAAGAACACCAACTTCATTTGTATGTTAGATAAATACTTAGCAATAAGAATAAACACTTGGGGAAGAAAATGATACTCACATTAATAAGAAACACAAATAAATCCTCAGGGTATACCAAACCAACTGTCAGGAAGCAACGTTGAACTTCATTATATGTCTGCCCACAAGAAAAAGAAGTAACATAATTATTAACTACTGAAACAGTTAGCCATCGACATCAGCACAAAACCACAGAAAACTATGTGGACAAAGTCCATGAAGCAAAAGGCAGGAAGCAACTTTTGTTGCTCTGGGAAAAAAGAACAGAAAATGATCCTACTTGTTACACAAATGTCAAAGTTATTCAGGATAAAACATGCTAGCTAATCCAAGGAAGAAGATATAAAGTACACATAAAGGCAAGATGTAAAGAAAAGATCTCCAAAATTCAACCAATTTGACAGATGGAAAATTAATACCAATAAATAATAATACTCATAATGAAAATTAGTAGAATGTAAGGCAAGGCTTAACTCATGATCTGGGATTCTACTCTCAACAAATCATAAAGAAATACATTTTCACACCTTCAGTCCAACTGAGAAATCTGAATGCTCCTTGTTGTCATTATTGATGCAAACCACCGGCAGGAGTGTTGATAGAATGACTGTGAGCTCCTGCAAACCATCATGAGAACAAACCAGCACCAAATAGATTATTTTTTTCATCTCGCACATGCATAACAAAATTAGTAGTAGCCCAACAAAGAAAACAACTTATGATAATTAAAGCCTATGATGTACACTATGACCTCCTCCTTGAGAATTGGTAACAAGGTTGTACCAGAAAAAAAAAACATCAACAAGCTCAACCTTTGCAAAAGCAGTATTCTGAAACTTCAGAACCAACAAACTCATTAAAAACAAAAGAACGTGGTATAGTGTGCATACCTCAAAATCAAGTAAAGGAGGACCACTTTCTGATAGTAAAGAAGCATGTAAGAGATTGTTAAGACTGCATGTGGCCAAAAAGGCAATATCTTGATCTCTTTTATACCTGATTGACAGGAGAAAGAAAAAGGTACGACCCTTATCGATGTGTATGGATGTGAAATTAGTGAGGATGTGTGTATCCATGTTTGTCCTTGAAAATATATAAGCACACTACCAGAAAGAAACTATTTTAACAAAGACTTGTACATAAAACATATATGTATACTGCAGAATCATAAACATATACAGCCAGGACGAAGAAGTAATGTATGACAAATCAATCTTACAATTCCAATATTGTGGGGACAAGTCTGGGTAAAGCCGCCTTCAATTGTGCCCGGGTAATAAGGCCAACCATCTGACCTAATGCTTCTACAGAAGATATGCGAACCTACTCAAAAAAGAGTTTAATCAAAACCAGATCATGTCAATAAAATGATGCAATGGGTTCTCTTATCAAAAAAAGAAAAGAACGAAAAAAGCATGCCATAGATCCAGGGAAAAAAGAAAATAAGTAGCAATGGAGATAAACAAAACAGAATCGCAATGGAAAATAGTGAGATATTACAATAAGAAATAGAGCAAAAATACTTTTCAAACCTTTAGATCCCGTGAAGCCGCCCAAACTCTCAACAAAAGCTCAAAAACAGAATTCAGAAATGACCTGCAGTTTTTAGTCATTTAGACATAAAATATGAAACAAGCACACGAAAAGTAAAGGAACCAGGACTGAAGAAAATGTAACACTACGAACAACAAAAACTTGATCTCACATGATGTCACCATCCAGAGGTGACTGCGAAGGGATATCAAGACTATATTGCCAAACAGCCTGACACCAACATTTAAAAGCTGAAAAGAATAGGACAAAGACAGTGAACATGAATAGGGAAAATAATTGAGTAAAATTAGCTTAGTAACCGTTTTACTGAACCTGTGTCAAATACTAGCACGAGAGAGAGAGAGTGAGAGAGAGAGAGATTGAAACGGAAAATGTGCTGCAAATTACAATCCAAATAAACACTTCTTACAAACTTGACGTAAAAACAGGCACATGGAAGAGTCTTGTAATTAATCGCAAACTAATGGCCAGCATCTCTGTGTTTATGAATTCAATGATGCCATGCTTTGGACAGCATTACTCAGTCATATATAGAAAACCAAACTAGAAACCAACCTAAAACAAGAATGGGTTAAGTAAGCCATGGTGGACCAGGCAATCAAGCATGTTAACCATGAGTTAATCAATTTAAGATATTCTTCCTTTTTTTCTCTTTCAAACAGATAGACTTAGTTTTTTTCTTTTTCTTTTTTAGGCCAGATTGATGAAGTTGTTTCAGTTAATTCCAAGGAGACCGGAAAACATGTTGGTAAACTCCAATTTCACTTCACAATATTAGAAGGCAAAGAGAAATTCAACAGGAGAAAGAGGCCAAAGACAATTCAGCATACCATTAGCAAAAATCGGTCGATGGACATCTCGTACACTTCCAAGAATAGGTAGAACCCGTGAAAGCACATCTTTCAATCGTGGGGTGAACTGCAATGCTTTAATATAATTAAAGCCAAAGAAATAAGGTATGACACATTTTAGTTTAAGACAAAAAAGAAATGCAATAACATATGAAAACCCCAAACTCCACAAAAAGCACAAACAAAATGATAGTTTAATAGTTAACCATCAGCATAAGCAAAGTCTGCTAGTATCTGAACCATAGCTGGTAAAGCTGAGTTTGGCCCAGGTAAATGTAGAAAAATTTCTTCCATCATCTGCCAAATTAAGAAAATAAAAGAAAAACAGAGTAGAAGAAAAGGTTAATGAAGAATCTCAGGGAGAACTAGGAGAGAGGGAGGGAGAGGGAGAGAGTGAGTGAAGTTATAGCATAAGTGTAAGATAGGAAAATGTGAGTTTCTGCTTACACTAAGAAACTTACTAGGTCTGGCAAATGTAAGCCAATTGAAACAAGAAGGCCTGATGCAGCTCTTTGCCAGTTTGTATTGAGCTCCTATATCAAACAAAACACTTCAATTAAATCATGCAAGTAGTTCCACTAAGAAATCAACGGAGCATCATCCGGATGAAGAACACAAGGTACCTTGGAGGAGATGATCTCTGCGGTGGCAATCTTCGCGATCTTAGACATGAAAAGAGGGTCGACTTCGTCCTTGTCCAAGGCTCTGACTCCGTATGCCATCACTTGGAAAACCCCAGCCATGTTACCAAAACGCTGAACCCGTCATAGTAAAAATAAAAACCCCGATCACACCACACATTCCAATTGAAAATATATCGAAATAAACCCCAACTTAAATTCCAAGGAAATAGACACAAAGAACTGAACATTACCCGACGTCCTCCTCGCGAACTGGCCGAGCAACAATCGAGAACTAAGAGAGGGCTCCTGCAATGGCAATTACAGTTCAATATACACATATAAACACACAATTTATATATAAATATATATATATATATATATAGAGAGAGAGAGAGAGAGAGAGAGAGAGAGAGAGAGAGAGAGTACAGGGCAGCAATGTCCTTGAGCGAGGCTATGGAGGCCTCTCTGACCATGGGGGATTCATCAGCGAGTGACGAAACCAGAAATTGAACAGCCTCTGCGATGATAGCTCACCAAACGGTCAAATTTTCAAGATCAGAGAGTGCCAATGTGAAAAATAATAATAATAATAAATTACAATGAAAGTACCTAGAGCGGGAATTGAACTTCCAGAGCTTGACGACGCCATGGAAGAACCAGAAGAAAAAAGAAGAAGAAAAGGGGAGCGATGTTCGAGAAGAAGCCACGGCTTACGACCCTGCAGCTATTTGCCCCGCAAACTTTCAACGGTAAACGGTAAATTGTTTTGCCGCACAGATCTAACTCGGTGCCATCTTTTTCAAGTGAATAATTTTACTTCCAGCTCTGGGCAGACCCGCGGGAACTGTTTGCCTCTGAAGAACCCAGTCGTCAAAATTAGGCCCAGATTGCATATATACGTAACGTCCAGCAGCCGTAGAAGATAATGGGCTTTGGGCTAATCGCGCTGAAGAGGGTGACACTGTGGCAGCCATTTGAGGGCCTCATGGAATTTTGGTCAAGGCCACATATGATATTTACCATTTCATTTTCTATTTGCGGAAATACCATTTCCTTATTGGATTGGGAAGGACAAATTTGAGTTACCAAACGACCTTTACAACGGTTCTCTAGTAGGGGTAAAAGTGACATTATTTATTTTTCGTTATTCGGCAGTCTGGTGTCTAATTTGAAAGTGAGTCTTCTTACTATCCCCAGCTACTTACAAAAAGACAAGTGTTCATCTAAACATCTTCATATTTTAAAACATATAATTTCAATTTTCAGAAAAAGAAATTCTGATTACTTGTTTACCTTCTATTACATTTGTTATGCATTTCTTTTAATGGGGGTAAAATTGGTAAAACAGGCACATACTAGTTTTTTTTCCATCTTTACAAAGGTTGACAAAACCTTAAGAAAATCCTTGGTTCGGAGCAATTGCTTCCTTAGGCAAGTTTCTGGGTTCAAGTCTTAGCATCCGTGTAGTGTGTGTGAGTTTAGTATATTATCGCTCCTCTCAAAGGTCTTAAAAAAATAATAACCTTAGGAAAATTCAAAATACTTCACTAAAACATAAATAATACACGTAAATATCATATCCATTAGCTAGCTCCTGATAATCTTGAAAGAATAGCAAATATCGTCAAATATTCAAAATGTGCTTTCATTGCCAGCTAAAACCAGTGCTAATAGTAGCACCGGACCACGTACTTATTTTTTATTTCATTGAAAATATTATTACAAATTCATGACAACACCTGTAATGTGTCAAGATTCATTAAGTTTATTCTTCCTATATATCTGTATAGAAAGGGAAATATTTTTATATAGAGAGTATATATATGTGTTTCTATATATTAATTTGGAGGGCAGAATGTAATAACGTAGTTAGGTCCACCGCTGCATGTAAAGGTACTGTTGACGTCATCGTAAGCGTAGCTATAAGCCAGAGGGCACTGGTTCTCGAATATCTGAGAGTAGTTTGTGGGAGGGCACGTCGACGGTTGGTTATACTGACCAGTGCAACAGTACTGAGGCTGGTTGAAAGCTGTACACGCACTCTTGCAGGCGATAACTCCGCCGGCCCCGGTCACTTGCAGCTCAGCCGGGCAGGCGGCGTTGACGTTGGCGGGGCAGGTAGAGGTCTTGCAGTCGCCGGTGCCACCTTGCGGAGAGACGGAAACGGGAAGGTTAAAGCCGTCGACGAGGCTCACGTCATAGAAGTCTTGGCCCCCGTTGGCTGCAATGTTGATTTCAACTAGGGTTGCGGGTGGAACGGCGCCGTTTCCGTTGCATGTGACTTGGCCGGAGTTGCACTCTGCTGTGGCGCAGCTGAACCTTCCGGAGGCATCGGTGGAGCATCCAGTTCGGCCCCAGAAGCGGCCTTTCCATGGGACTGGAGTGGTCACTGAGCTGCTAGCTTGGGATGCTAACTCGAAGCCTGTGGTGGACAGTTGAGGTTGTTGGTCGGCGGTTAGGGTTCCTGGCCATACGGTGTAGGGGCATTTGTTTGTGAAGGTAATCGTAGCTGCATGAGCACCTGCATTATGCCAAGGAAAAAATAATGAGTTTATAATTAATTTGATACTATAACCACAAACATATCTATGTGAAATTATAGTCCAATCGATCGTGTGAAAAATTTCTAGCCCTCCCATGAACGTCATTGTTGGAGCATCTCCAACGAGATGTTAAATTCAAATTTGATAGCTTATGTAACAATTTGACACTTTGAAAAAAGTATATATAACAATTTGACATATCGATATCGGTTGGAGATGCTCTTAACCCATCAAATATTTGGAGCTCAATGCGTATATATATATATTTGGATATTTAGATGTAAGGGAAAAAGAAAAGAACAAGAGGAAGTTATGTTTACCTGCGAAGAGGAGGGCCAAGGTGAGGCTGAGAAGTGCTTGGGTGTTCATCATCATTGAATGAAATTAGTTCCTCTGCTGCCAAACTAATTATATCCTTGGATGGAATTAAGTTGAGATGAAATTTGGTGAGCAAGGGGCGTGTTATATATATAGGCTTCAAGTGCAACCTACCTTTTTGTTGTCTTGCACATTGCGACTTGCGTGTCCAAGTTGTCGTATGGACCTTTTGCATTTGCAGGGAAAATCACCAAGTTAAGTTCCTGGACCGGCCTAGCTAGCCTCATTTCATATTAATTCCCCTCAAAATTTGTAGCTAATTTACAAAATTAATTATCTCCCCAAAAGTGTTGGATGCCCTCCTTAGCTCCTTCCTATATAAACAAAAACATAATCACTAAAGGAAAAATTTATGCATACATATTAGACTGTAATTTATCTGCAAGGAGGAATAATTTCTTACATGCAACGAGCCAAGTATTTTTCTTATTGTATATTGGTGTCTATAACTACAAGTATCGAGGATACAGATAGTGCAAGATGATTGGAATTTTTCAATGAATTGTTTAAAAATTGAAAATATATGTATCATTGGTATTTTTTTTTATATTTTGTTTTTGAAATATTATTTTATATTTGTACTATTAATTATAAGTATTTTCATTATCCCCAAGTACGGCTGGTATATTCCAAAAAATGCGAATCCTTATCCTTTATATGAAGCTAGCCCGACTTTAGCAAATTGGAAAAATCGTATGGCATTTGGCATTTAGACATTGAATGCAATTACGCTTTTGTCAAACAATCTGTGGAAACCTGCTTGCCATACGCAACTGCGTGATAGACGGGCCTAAAGACAATATTGTATCTGCCATGAGAGAAAGGCTCATATGCATTTCATTTTCAAGAGTCACAAAATGGAATAGTCCACGTTATTATTATGTATTTACTACTAATTATTAATTTACGTAATGAAAAATCTCAAAGCTATATTAACTATTTTTTTATATACAAATAATATTGGGAGATGGGAAAATGAAGGGCCTCGGCCGCAAGGAAAAACAATCTTAATTAACCACTTGAGCTACAAGTCCCTTAACTGCATAAGAACAAGTTGTATTCAATGAGATATACAAAAAATTTATAAAGCGTGCAATATATGAAGGGGAGATAATGATTGTCATGTAAACCCAAAAAAGAAAACTCTAAAATCAAACCAATATAAAAGTCAGACACAAAGAAAATAAGTCAAATTGAAAGTAGCTTTCATCTTCTATGGGCATACAACTATAAGAGCTAGAGGATCAAGTTCCCCAACGCTAGCGTCTGTCTTGTCACCAAGATTCAGTAAATGCTTTGAAAATTAAAATACAAAGTTAAGAAGGTGTGTGTTTGCATTATGTTGGCGTGACTTGTGGATTGTTGACTTACTTTCCTTACACACCAAGAATTCCTATTATAATTGTAATTGATTTACTTTAATTCCTGATTTCCTACTGTAAATAGATTTAGGAATTTATTATTTACTTGCCCATTCAGCATTTGTTGTATTAGAAATATGACCTCCTACAAGGAGAAGAATACACAGAAAATTCCCACAAACAAATATTCTCATATTAGGTTTCATATTTTAGCACATTATATTAGTTTTTGGTGCTATCATGGTACTCTTCCCATCGATACTACATATGAATAATTTTTTGTGGTGATTTTCGGTGTGCCATGTAGCTAGTGTATTATTAATCCACTTGTTATAATATCAGTGGATGATTAATTTATAGAGTAAGAAAACACGTTATTGAAGAAAAAATGTGAACCTCCCAACATAATTTCACCACCACTAATTAAATAATGGGGTTTTATTATTTTAGGTTTGACCCATTTGAGACGCGGTGTCTCTTAATTACAATCCCTTGCTTCAAAGAAACATAACGTGCGTGTTTGATTTTGCGGCTGCTCCTACATCGAACCTCAGGGTGCTTACGTATCCCTTACGGGAATCAAGCTACTCATAGTTCAAAGAGTTGCAATGAATAAATTACTCATTGCAAGGAAAATTTGATTCATATTGTATTAAGTGAATTTAGCTGAATAAATCAGGGATTCAATTTTGAATTGTGTTTGGGGCGAATTTGGTTAAGAATAAACCAGGGATTCTGTTTGGATTTAAGATTTGGGCGGTTGCATCTAGATTGAGTCTCTAGATTGCATACGTACCCTTTCAAAGGGATCAAACCAACGTAGTTTAGAGAATCGATTTGGAAACTAATGGGTAAGTGTGGCCCACTAATTAAGAATTTGTGTCTTCGTGACAATTTGGAGATGTTGAAATTTTCATAGGTAGATGACCCTGAAGGAAACCTTTAGAAAATCATGAGTTTCATTTGAACATCAACATAGATAAATAAAATCATGGCAACGGAAGCTTAAGCATGCATCTATGAGTTCAAAAACGAAAACTTTTCCCATGAATCTTTTAAGCCAAGTGATAGTTGTACTACTTTCCTAGAACATACTTCTAGTAAGATTGGAAGGAGGAGTTACCCTTGGTGCGTGCTTTCAACCCTATGATCGAATTCCACCAAAGTTGCTGAAGCTTGAATGGCTCATGCAAAATCTCCACCTTGTTGTTGAAGCTTGAATGACTCCTTCAAAACTTCAACTTAGGAGGTTCTCCAAAAGTCACCAAAATAGGTAACCGCTAAGTCTCTTCACCAACTAGAGCTTGAGAAGAATATGATGAGCTTAGTGAGAGGATGATGCTAGTGATCCCTCACTAAGATGGTATGAAAGTGTAGAGAGAGTTTTTGGAAGACTAGAGCTTTCTTTCTTCTTTTTTTTTTTTCCACTAATGAACCCTTTTGGCTTCAAAAAGATGATAGTTATCTTTTTCTTGAGTCAACAAGTTGACTCTAGCAACCAAAAGCCCATATGAACGTTCATCCCTTGAAATTGGGCCTCTTGGGCTCAATTTAATTTATGTTGTCATACAACTCAATCTCCATGTCCAAAAGGATAAAGCCCAATGAGCCCAGAATTCAAAATTCCCGTTTGAAGCCTATTCCGACATCACGTGTCGTTTAAATTAATTCCAAAATTAATTTTGCCTTAACCAATTAACAAAGCTTAATTGATCTCTTCAATTCATCATCTCCATAACGGTTTCCCAAATAACTCAAGTTTAACGGTGTGCGATCCATTAGGTTCTAATTAGCAAGGTCGTGGGCAATTTGAACTCTTTGTAATTGATTGTGAATTAAAACCCCTTTTTAATTCTCCCTATTAGTTAGGATCATTAGTCCTTAGGGCTTCCACCATCCATGAGTGACACCGAGCAATATGTCATGGATATCCAAGCTAAGTAGAATAAGCAGAGAACCTATTCAGTTGGAATTACAATGCAATACGGTCCTTCCCTATTACAATGCTTTTAATCTCATTACCAGGGCATGGTGCATGTCAAAATCCCTAATGAGATTGTCACGTCTTATATGATTTGTATTAGTATGACAAGAACATCCTTCTAAGTCATACCGAATACTCTGATAAGAGATTTGCTTAATCATATCTTCCGAATACTCTGATCAGAGATTCCATGTTGTACACTCACATGTCTCCATGAGTTAATC